TACCTTTTAGGTTGTTGTAAGTCAACAACAGAATCAACATTCGTAGTGGTTTCTGGTCGAGACGTAGTTGGATAATTCATTTTATCGACTTTTATGGTTGTGTTACCGACGTTCAACGAAGACGGTATTTGTATGCCATGAGAGAGTGTTTCATCAACTAACAACGACGGCTGGTAGAGATGAGCGGTTGAACGGTTCAATGCAACTGGTATTATTACTTGTGGGTATCCTACCACCTGCAAGTAGAACAACTTATTTTACTCCTGATACCACTTCCGTTCCCCATTTGGATACATTCTCATCTCATCGCTTATCCAAATTTGTTTTGCGGTTTCTTGAGTGCAACATTGGTTCGTTTGTACGTGGGCAGTTTGCTTTGAATTTGATAAGAGTGTGTCATTTTGTCTTCGAAATATATGCACTTTAAAAAGACATTCAGTAGTGTCGTTGTCAACCTCCCAACGAGAACAGGTGGGAACATGATAACTGGAATATTCTTTCAGTAAGCAGCGGTCAAAATAAATTCATACCTGCATATGCGACAGAGCGCTATCATGAAAAGCAACGGGAAAATAAATTGCATGTGGTGGCATAGACATGAATGAAACATCGGTTGTGCTTGTGGTTGGGAACGATAGTGTATCATGGTTCGTGGATGTCACCATTGAAATGGATGAGATTGAGGAGTTTGTTGACGGGGAACCTAAAAGCAGCCGCATCATTAATATTGGCATCTTTTTCTCATTACTGACATATCTGTCAACTTTTCAAGAGCTCTGTTGCTCCCGTAGATTATTTTGATTTGAATGGAGCCCTCGAATAATCAAAAGCAATACGTTTTAATCGGAATGGAACTTTGAAGTTTTCGGGCACTGGCGAATATTCTATTTATCAATGTTTCAACATATTCCATTGTCAGCTATCAAATTTTAAAATAAAAAGTGCATGAAAAATCGCAAATGATGAAGCATTAAAAGCCGAACCAAAAAACAATAGATGTAACTGATAACAATACGGAATATTCATTATCGATGCAATCACACCCAATCATATTTGAAATATTTCTGTTATACTTCAGTGAGTCATTCCATGAAGTTATGCAAGAACGTCATGTAAAAGCAACAACAATAACGTCACTCAATTAAGAATCGTATAGAAACAGCGATTGTATCAAATTCACATAAGTTTCATTGCTCACATGAAGCATATTCTTTGAGAAGATGTAAGCTTGTCAGAAAAGAATGCATTTGCTAAATTTCAGATAGTGAATCTCGAAAATTTAGTCACTTTGCATCATACGACGGATCGACATTGGTTTGCGTTTGCAGTGTTGCTGATGTTTCTCACGCATTCTCGGACGGAAATGTGTTAGGTAATTTGCATAAATCTAGGTTTAGAGCAGTAATAGTAAAGTAGTGGATAAAACTGATCGTAAAATAGCAAAAGTGTGGGCAGCTGAGTGACAGTTATCATGGTAATCACTTGCTTATGGCAATCAGTACTCTTGTGTCACGTGAAACAAAACTTTGAGGATTCTCGATTTCAAAACTCCATCAAGATGTACCGTTTTTGAAGTATTTATCAAGATCAAGAAGGACTGCTGTTGCACGTGCATCAGTGAATCATGCAATTATATTTGAAGATACTTTTCGTTTAAAGTGAGGAAATGAATTACTAAGATGCCGTAATTCAATATGAAATTCTTCTGACTTTCGAAAAATTTACCATTCTCGCTGAAATTCTCCTCGGATCGATGAAAGCGTGGAAGTGATCCGACATTCGCTTTTAATTCGGTGATTTTCTGCACAGAGCGATTTATACGTATGAACAAATTGCCATCTAAAAAAGAACAAAGCCGATCAGTTTGATCCAAAATAATTTGCCATATGCAGAGTTAAAGAAGTGGGACATAGAAAAAATGATGCCTATTTGACATGGGAATATAAATTCGGGTTCTAAAAAGTTCTCACATTTAACACGAAATTATATCGGTTGTAGAAAATATGAAAATGTTTGTTATAGATGGCAAATAGATTGATTCATCTGTTAGATAGATGGAATTTTGCGTCAACTCTGAAAAGGTGTGTAAATGAAATTTCCCCTGTTAATGTAACAATAATGGACTCATTTGTCATCATTTTTCACACGCCATACCAAAAAAAATGCATTAACACAGCACTCATCGCGTAGATCGTTAACGATGGAATTCATTCAATGCCCAAGTTATCCCATGTTTATCTAACAATGATCAGAGTGCAATTCTACGCAGTGGAAACTCGAGTTACGACAGCACTTTAACTGTGATCCGGATCGGTCGTGAAACGAAGCATGTCTTCTGGCAGTAATC